TTATTTAAAAAATGATAGCAATAAGAAGTAAAAAGGGATCTTCAAAAATCAAGGAAAAGGGTAAACAAGTGAAATATGTAGATCTAGTAATTGACTCCTTGGTGACTGAATACTTGTGGAGCCATCTGTGTTAATACAGTTAATAACCTAAAATCACATGTGTTTTTGCCATCCTATCATGTTATAAGAGTAAAGATTGAAAATTAAGCATTTTATAAGCAGGTCAATCTTATTTTACTGATATATGACCTCTCCTTGCAGATGGCTATGGTGGGAAAGTCTTGAATATAATGCGAACCCTAGGCAGAGCAGAGCAAGGCATATTTGACATTAATCAGATTGAATTTCCCCTAACAGGTTAGTATTCTATATTTATTGAATTTTTTATTTATTTGATATGTGTGGTATATACAATAGTATGATAAAAGTACTTTATTGAATTCTTATTGCACTTCCTCAGCAATATTTCATACAATAATATTGAGGATGAATTTTTTTTCTTTACAGCAGTTGATACAGGTACTAAATGGTCTTTCAAATATTTTTTCTTAACAAATAGATATTTCAATATAGTGGGAGTTTGTGACCTAATCACAGTGGGTGACATTTTTTTTTCTTGCCATGACACACCAAGCCCATATGCTAGGTGGAGTGTCCATGGCACATCCAGCTGATCTTCTTCTTCTCCTTCTCCTTCTCCTTCTCCTTCTCCTTCTCCTTCTTCTCCTTCTCCTTCTCCTTCTTCCCTTTCCCCTTCCCCTTCCCCTTCTCCTTCTCCTTCTCCTTCCCCTTCCCCTTCCCCTTCCCCTTCCCCTTCCCCTTCCCCTTCCCCTTCCCCTTCCCCTTCCCCTTCCCCTTCCCCTTCCCCTTCCCCTTCCCCTTCCCCTTCCCCTTCCCCTTCCCCTTCCCCTTCCCCTTCCCCTTCCCCTTCCCCTTCCCCTTCCCCTTCCCCTTCCCCTTCCCCTTCCCCTTCCCCTTCCCCTTCCCCTTCCCCTTCCCCTTCCCCTTCCCCTTCCCCTTCCCCTTCCCCTTCCCCTTCCCCTTCCCCTTCCCCTTCCCCTTCCCCTTCCCCTTCCCCTTCCCCTTCCCCTTCCCCTTCCCCTTCCCCTTCCCCTTCCCCTTCCCCTTCCCCTTCCCCTTCCCCTTCCCCTTCCCCTTCCCCTTCTCCTTCTCCTTCTCCTTCTTCTCCTTCTCCTTCTCCTTCTTCCCTTTCCCCTTCCCCTTCCCCTTCTCCTTCTCCTTCTCCTTCTCTTTCCCTGACTGCAGCCACCGATTAGTTACACCTCTGCATAGTCTTTTTATGGCCTCAATCTTAGACACAAAAAACGTTTCTAAAACTTTTGTCAAAGGGTTAATTCAGGGTAATAGTAATTTTATGTGACTTTCATATTCTAGTATTTAGTCAGGTTTTAAGTTAATATGAGCTAAATATGATACTATAATTGAGTTAATTTAAGAAAATAGATGTTTTTAGAATATTTGAAATAGTAAATGGAGCATCCTGAACTGAAAAGGAATAAAAATAAATAAAAACTGGTTGTGTTTGGGGAAGTATAGAAGTATAGCCATTGCTAACTTAAAGTTTGTACACAGTCAATCCTTCTAGTAATCTGTCTTGTTTATTTTGCATTTCTCAGATACTGTAGCATCTATTTTTACTATGCTTTCAAAAACATCTCAATAAAGTGTTTAATAAAGCAATATAACATGATATCTGTAATGTTCAAGGTGACAGGACATATCTTGGGACAGCAAACTAAGGGATACCTTTAAACAAGTAACTTTTGTGGCCCAGGAACTTCATTAACTCAAACTTCATTAACTCAAGTCTTCTACAATTTTGTTAAAGACTTTTTCTTTGTGCATATTTTATTACTTTAGTATTTTGCATTATCTCTTATCTTATGACAGTTGGAAGAGATTTCTCTGGTGAGGTCGTTGCCCTTGGTAAAGCTGTTAAGAATGTTGCTGTTGGAGATCAAGTTTGGGGCGTGGTTAGTCCACAACGCCAAGGGTCACATGCAGAATATGTAGTTGCTGCAGCATCAAATGTAAGACATAGTTTGAAATACAATGAAAAATTAAGTATCAAGAAAACCTTCAACTGTGTTTGTTGTTTATGGATTGTATACATAATTAATATATTTTAAAAATGTCATTAATTCATTTTTCTTAATTATCCATTTCATGTAATGTCTCAAGGTTTGCAGTAGGCCAGCTAACATCACTTCAGAAGAAGCAGCCTCCATCCCATATGCAGGTCTTACAGCTTGGAGCACTGTGGTTGTGTCTGGATTGATAACGGAATATGCAGCACCAAGAACAAGAGTTTTACTCCTTGGAGCATCTGGAGGAGTGGGGTCATTTATGTGCCAAATGCTGTCTGTTTGGGGAGCTCAGGTTAGGTCACATATATAATTTGTTATAGGATAGGGATTGTATGATGAAGGAATTCTTGAATACTGAACTGACTATTTTTACTATATATTGTATTGGAGTACATAAATATGTGCTTTTACAGGTTGTTGCTGTTTGTAGTGAAGATGCCTCAGATTTGGTAACCAGTCTGGGTGCAGTGGAAGTGCTAGACTACAGAAACCCAGAAACAAAGGATTTGCTTATTGCTGATCAAGGGTAGAAATGAACTTTTATATAATGTCAACATGAATGGGAAATCTTATAAATCATTTTACAAATAAAAACAATGTAGTTATGCTGAACTTTATTTTAATATAAAGATTTTTCTCAAGGTTTGATGTTGTGATTAATGCAGCTGGTCCTGATGATCTAGATTACCTTAAAGCACTACGGCCATGGATGGGATCATCTTATATTACGTTGTCACCACCACTTCTGCGGAATACAGATGAGCTGGGAATATTGCCTGGGTTTATCAAGGTTTGTGTACACTCAACATAATTTTGGTAAACCATAGATTTTGTCCAGTTCTTCTGTATTTGAACTTTATTTCATTGGACTTATCTTTGTATATATAATTTTCATTATTTACATTTTCATTTCAATTGCTTCATATGTATATAAACTATAATGTAAAGTGAGTCTTTATTTTTTCATTATATTTACAACAATTTCAGGTTAAAATCATAGATTATATATCTCCATATACCTAACATAGCTTAATATATCTTTATATGTACTGCTTAATTTCTATTTTTCCAGAGCCTGAAACAAGTAGCATGTCAAAATGTAACATCATTGTCAGAAGGAAGAGCATACAAATGGGCTTTCTACATGCCAAATCCATTTGCTTTAAAGGAGATCTCTAATATGATGTCAAAGAGCAAGGTAAATGTACAGTTTGTAGAAGAATGATTCTTCAGCAGACTCTATGTTTGTTACATAGTTAGCATAATTTTACATATAGTAAAGTAAAGTATATAAAGATTATGTGCTTATTCTAGTTATTTTGTTTGTTATAACAAAGGAATCCGGTTCCAATTCATCTGTTAACCCAATGCTGCCGGGGAAAATGAATAAAAAATGGGAAAAATGCTGTACTCATTTTCTATAATTTTGTGAAATGTCTCTGGACATAGATGGCTCAGCTAGTGCTTAGTGACAAAGGAGTCAATTAGTAGACCTTGTGACCATACATGATTTGAATTGGCGGGAAAAACAAAATTTTTACTAGTTCTATGAATATCGATAGTGTTAGTTTTATTATAAACATTATAATTACTATAATGTTATAAACATTAGTAATTGCAAAATATGATAATGTAAAATATTTTCGTAAATCAAAGAAAAGGGTAAACAGGGGAGACAGGCAGTATTCATAATTGGCTCATTGGTGACTGAGAGAAAGTGTAGCCATCTATGTGTAAAAACAATCATTTAACTCACAGTGGGCATAGCACGTACATACACATCATGCATTGGGTTAACCCATTCGCGCCGGGTAAAAATGAACAAAAAATGGGGAAAATGCTGTGCTCATTTTTTTTACTTTTTAATGAAATGTCTCTACACTAGATGGCTCTGCCTTACCTGATTTCATTTGGCGGGAAAATGTATTTTTACCAGTGCTATGAATATCGGTTTATTTTTATTATAAACACTATAATTACTATAATGTTATAAACATTAATAACAGCAAAATAAGATAACGTAAGATATTTTTGTAAATTAAAGAAAAGGGTAAACAGACGACACAGGCAGTACAAGTACAAGTGTAGCCATCTATGTGCGAAAACAATTAAACAAGTAAACTCACAGTGGGCCCACCACGTATACGTGACACCCGGCGTGAATGGGTTAAACATAATCTCTTTTTCTATGAACAAAGACATAATACTTTATGACATTTGTATTAGAAACATCTTCATTTGCAAAAGATTGAATTTCCTATAATTTTATTTACAGTTACAGAGAATTTTCTGACCATATCCGTCCTTTTTCCCCCTAATTACTTATATACACACTTATACCAGAATCTACTTGAAGAGGATGCCTTTTTTTTTTTAAGTTAACTCTTTAAATTTACAACAGAACTCTTCTAACACCAATAATTTTATATTACAGATTCGACCAGTAATTGATAGAGTATTCCCATTTGATGCTGCACCAGATGCCTATGCTCATGTCATCAATGGTCATGCTAGGGGAAAAACTGTTATTTCTGTACAGTAATGCGAGGTCTGTAAAATTATCATTTAAAGAATATCAAAAAGTGTTTTTGTGAATAAATCCTTTCATCAACTTTAATAGGTGTTCACATTGTAATCTATTATTGGGTCATTTCAGAACAGATAGTTTCTTTAAGGCTCTCCATTACATAAGTGATACATTGTTCTGAAGTACATTTTCATTGTGTAGGTTATTTATGTATTTATGGCCCTTGTACATCATGAAATCCTAATTTTTTTGTGGCAATGTGTACTGCAGTGTTGAAAATTGTCATAAAATGTAGTTTGTTCATAGTATGAATATAGAATTGTATATTATGAAAGAATGAATAAAACTAAAAAGTACCTAACAAATCTATTTTATTTTATTTTTTCAAACACCATTTTCCCTCTTCCAAGCTTCAATCCACAATACAATTTTTTCTAAATTACTTTCCATGTCTTCTGGAGTGTTTGAAAACAATTCATGGACCAGATGTTCTGCATAACTATCTTTCGCTTCATCCAAAAGAACTGCCATTATCTCACATTCAATATTTTCTTCCAATTTCTTTCCATGGTATCCTCTGTAAAAGAAAAGGAAATCAGAAAAAAAATAATTTCTTCTTTAGAGATTAAACTAAATTCACAGTCATATTCAAAATATCATCTTTATTTAGGAATACAGGACCTCATCAAACTTGGAATACAACTATAAAATATTCAAACAAGAACTTAATAAAAATTTCTATTATGTTTAAACAGAAAGAGGTAGAGTGAGACTAATACCTAAAGGATTTTACTAAAATACATAAATCATTTTCATTTCTGAAAGGATGAAATTTTGGAATTCTTCCCTTTAAAATTGTCACAAGTAAAGACAGCTGAGTGTTAATAAGTTTTATAAAATCTTTATAATACATTTTGCCTAATTTTTTAATTACTACTTAATCAACTCTCCTTATCCTATTTATGCAATAACCACTGTGGTTTTGCTTTATTTATTTTATTTAGATATAGACATTTAGTTTTATCCTTGGATTTTCAGAAAAGAAAAAAATGCTATTATTATTAACCCATTGGATCCAGATGCTTCACTGCCATCACATGGCTAAAAATATGAGCATTATGCTAACCTGAATGGCCACTCTGATGGGGGTGCAGCATGTAGACCAAATGCACACAATCATTCATTTCTGGTGATAAAGACTCTGTGCCTCCCCTCTGCGATGTTATTTTCTCTTTTTCTGCAGAGGTGTTTTGCCATTTTCCAATGTCTATATTTGTGATTTAATTAGCTATGGTAAAAGACTGTTTTCCTTGCACAAACTCCATATCATCTCAGGAATAGGATTATAAGCATGGAAATAGTGTCCTCATTGGAGCTGGCACTCTCTGGCACTCTTACAGTCGTGGTTGAAGGATGGTACAGTCCAAACTCACTTAGTGATGGAAATACTGCAAAAGCCCCTTCTTAAATGGCCATTGAGTCTTATCACCCTCCAAGAGCTTCATGCACTCGTGCCGAAACATTCCCGTAATCCCAGTTTTCAGCTGAAATTCTCATGAGGGCATGTTCCCATCACCTGGCCCTCAGCCAAATTTTCCCATAATAGCAAGTTCATGTCACCCGCCCCTAAAGCCAAATTTCTTCATGACATGATGGCCACATCATCCAGACCGTTGGGGTTAATACTGTCATAATAATAACAACAGTGATGGCAACGAAGATTGATGATAACTGAAGGTGATGATGATGATTGAAGATGATGACTGAGGATGATGATGATGATGATTGAAGATGATGACTGAGGATGATGATGATGATTGAAGATGATGATTATTGATGATAGACAGACAGTGCATATACAGTAAGTCCCCAACCTAAGAACATAATGGGGACTGAGAGGCTGTTTGTAAGTTTATTTGTTTGTATGTCAAAAGTCGGGTCTCCATTACCTTTTTTCCCATTGTTTTAAAGTTTTGTTTACATTAAGAATACCTGTAAATAAATCCCAATAAGTACGACATACCTTGTACAGTACCAGACTCTCGAACTATATTCGTGTCCAGGAAATTGGAAGTTTGCTAGCATCTTTCAAACAACTTTTTGGACTTTAGTACTTAAAAAAAATTTTTGTATGTATGGAATGTTCATAAGTAGAATGTTCTTAAGTAGGGGACTATCTGTATCTGTATCAAATAATATGTACTTCCTGTTGGTTGTCTTTAATTTTCCCAAATAATTTAGGCAATGTAAACATCATTACAAGTACAGTACCTGGCAGCAAGTCTGTCATACAGCAGTGTGTTGTCAGTTCTAAGCACAAAGACAATGTCGAAGAATCTTTCTGGGAAGAATTCACTGCCATGGTAGTCAACAATTTTTCCTCCCTCTTCCATCATGTCTTCCATCTCATCTAGAACCTGCAACAAAAATTATTATTAATCTGACTTATACAGGCATCCAGGTATAATATTGTATGAAAGGCATATTAATAATTTTTCATCTGTTACCTAGATGAAATTATACATTAATATCCTGCAGGTTTCAATTTACTGCATGATAAGTGAGTAATTAATATTATATTTTGAAACATACATTCTTACATGTACTGAGAATATGTAATGTAATTGTTTCATAACATAAACCAATTGTTCAGTATATATTATTAATTTTTTGTTATGTAGGAATGTTCATAAGTAGAATGTTCTTAAGTAGGGGACTATCTGTATCTGTCTCAATAATACGTACTTCCTGTTGGTTGTCTTAACTTTTCCCACAACAATTTAGGCCAATGTAAACATCATTACAAGGTACATGTACCTGGCAGCAAGTCTGTCATAAGCAGTGTGTTGTCAGTTTAAGCACAAAGACAATGTCAAAGAATCTTTCTGGGAAGAATTCACTGCCCATGGTAGTCAACAATTTTTCCTCCCTCTTCCATCATGTCTTCCATCTCATCTAGAACCTGCAACAAAAATTATTATTAATCTGACTTATACAGGCATCCAGGTATAATATTGTATGAAAGGCATATCAATTATTTTTCATCTGTTACCTAGATGAAATTATACATTAATATCCTGCAGGTTTCAATTTACTGCATGATAAGTGAGTAATTAATATTATATTTTGAAGCATACATTCTTACATGTACTGAGAATATGTAATGTAATTGTTTCATAACATAAACCAATTGTTCAGTATATATTATTAAAAGTTATAATATATATGTGATTATCTACTTTACATAAAGCATTACACAGTACTGTCAGGCACAGCCTAGTATGAGTTTAGTTTATAAGTTTTGTTTACACTTTAATGAAATATTATTTCTTATTTCAAGTTGTTATTAGTGCTGTTCATGATATTACAAATAACAATACTACAAATGTTGTTAAGCTTAGGGAAAAAAATTAGGTGAGGTCAAGTAGGTTTACTAATTCACTCCTTGGTGGCTGAGCACTTGTGGAGCCGTCCATGTCAAGCACATTTCACAAATCAATGCCACAGAAAACATTACATGTCCCCAGCAAAAATGGGTTAAACTTAAACATCTTTACACAGAAGCAATAACATATTGTGATTATCTAGTCTAAATTACTAATTAAATCTAATTCATGCCAGTTACAAAATAGTTGGTCTTGTATATTTTAGCTCTTATGATTAAAGTTAATTGATATCCCTTATCAGCTTATAAAAGCAATAAAAAAAATATAACTATCAATAAGAAATATGTACACTCACTAAAAAATGTATCTTTACTCAGGAGCACATGAAACTGAAACAATTGCTAGGGGTTGATTTGGAAAGTTGGTACTTATTGTTATCAAAACTCAGAACAGGTGCAGTTTATATGACTAGAGCCTTGTATCATGGCAATATTAGCACTGGAGTCCTTAAGAACCGTTTGTAGCATCATGATCATTCTTTACTCTGAGGGACTATCGAGAGCCTGATTATCAAGATTGGGTATTTCAAAGCCAACTGTGTCTCTGAATCCAGCAACACAAGCAACTGGATCCACCAGAGGCAAGGCCAGAAGAAGGCACCCTAGGTGCACGAAGGAGGAAGATCAAGTAAATGTCATTCAAAACTATAAGTCAATATGCTATATGAAATACAAATAGGAAGCTTGCATTAAAATGCATGAATATCATGAGCTAATGAAAACCATTTGATAATCAGTGGCAACAGCCTTTACAGACAACTGTATTTCAGAAGGTGACATGGCCAGTAGTTAGTTGCCACATCCCCTTACAGTTTGTCATTTTCTTTGTATTTATTTATTTTCAATGTTTTTTTTTAAACAATCCATAACAGCAAGGGATGCGAACCCCTTTTATTGTGCTGGCAGCAACCCAAGATGACACTGTGCTACATCCACCCAAATTTCTAGAACTCAATCCAACTGAGAATGTTTGGGTACCCATGGGCAGAGACTTCCCCCAAGATCATGCCCGCAATCATCTTATCATTGTTCCCTAAGCAATTACAGCATGGGAGTAATTGCAGTCTGCAGACAGACACAAGTTAATGGTATCCCTTGGCAGGGATACCAATATCAGGTTGACCTCACAGCACTTTATCCAACTGCTTTCATCATCGAATCATATTATTAAGTCAGAAAGAGTAAAGAATTTTTTTATACACAATCTGAAAATCTATCAACTCCTTCAGAAAGACTTCATAACCATATAAAGATAAATTACCAAAATGAAGATCAATATTATACAAGAAACCAAAAATTATATAACTTAACTACCTTATCTTCATTCAGGATGGGGCAACCTCTTTCTTCATCATAGCCATCAAAAAAGTTGTTGTTCTTTGCAAGGTCTCCAACATTTATCCATTCCAGCCCTGATCTCTCAGCTAGTTGCTGTGCCAATGTTGACTTGCCCACACCAGGTGTTCCTGAAAAGAAAATATTTTTGTTAGCGAACCTGTATATGTTCTATATTTAAATGCTTCCTTTGAAATCATAACTAGAAATCTAAGACCTTGGGTGATTATATTCTATTAAAGGAAGAGAGAGCAAAGAAAAAAATAGTTGTATAAGAACTATGCCTGTTTGTGAGTAGTGACATTAGCTTTGGTCCTCAAAAGGAAAATGAGTGGATTGGTGACTTTTAAAACAAGATGCTGAACATTTACTAATAATGTCACTATAGAAAACACTAGTGCATCAAAGTTAGGGTATTAATATAAAGTATGGAATCCTAGTCTCATAATAAAATATATTACTAGAACAGGTCCAAAGAGTTCTTATCAAAATTTTTTAGAACATGACGCATTAATTACTGGGAAAGAATAAAAAGCACTGAAAACTTGGTAACAAATCCAAGCAAGTCAGAAGATGGAGAATTAA